TGCTGATTACTTGACTCCGACCAGCCTCCTCCGGCTTCTTGGCCGCATTGTCACTATAAGCTTGAATTCTTGCCCAGCTCTGCCTGGAATCTGTCACCCACCTAGGTTTCCAATCCTGTTCAGAGACCTGCCCATCTGTCCTTTGTGTGTGTCAGGCCTACACAGAGCGCCACACGGAGCTGCCCTAAGCCCAGACTCCAGGCCCAGCTATCGGCGAGGGTGCCCTGCAATGCGCCTGACCTTTCTCCTGCCATCTTCTCTTGTCAATCTCACAGAATATCCCTTTCTGGCAGGCCAATCCTGTGCTGTTGCCTAAACTTGCCTTGCTTGTTCCTTATCTCCATGTCTTTGCTCTCAGGCCATACTTCTTCCTCATAGAAGCAGTGTTCTCCCCTCCCCTCCCAACACCCATTCTTTCAAATCAGAAGATGCCTTCCCGGAGTCCTGCCTAGTCCCCAGGCCTCTAGGTATCTCTGGCTCTGAATTCCTGTACTTCCGGTCACTCCACTGGCACCTCGTAACCAGCAGTTTGCTGTGCTTGTTTACCTCTCCATCTTATCTCCACACGAAGCTCATTTCCTCATGGCATGAGCCCTACAGTACACTTAGAAAACCTGAACAAATACCAGGGACAGCAGAAGGTTTTCAGGAAATAAAAACCCTCCCAATAATCGTTTTCATGATTCTGTATACATTTTCAGAGTAATAATCATACTAGCAGAGTCAACCACCGTCACACGTTCAGTTTCACAATCGGCTTTTTCCACTAACACAGCAAAGTCGTCTTAGGTGTTACATGATTTTGATAGTCATCCTTTTTAATGGCTATATAATAGTCCCTCCTACACTGCCATACACTGCCCATGATTTACTGACTCAGACACTACTGCATAAGTCTTTGTGTCTTTCACTGCATCAAGTATGATAAAATGCAAACTATTGAGAAATGCCTGCCAAAATAAATGTATGGCCTGTACTTCCTAATAAATGACATGACCTATTCACCATCTCTTGCTAATCCAACTTCTGGTGTAATTTTCTGGTTCCATCCCTTTAGGCCAGATAGGTAACAAAGGTATTTTCCTACTTTTATACAGATTACTTACTCTGTAAATTAATAATAGACTTAAATGCGGGAATTCCCTTGAGGAAAGACAATAAAATCTCCTATTGATGATAAGCTGGATGGCTGGAAGGCATTCCATAAAAATGCTCACTTACCTAATAAATATTTTCTAAACCACCTAAAGTTATAGAACAAACTCCTGAAAAGGAGAGTGTCACTGATCTGACTATTAGCATCAATGATGCTTGTAAAACTTGCAGCTCAATTAATGATGACATGGGTTAATAATGCATGAGAAGCGCGTTCTGTCCCGGACACAACACACAGCTGCCCCAGTGATAGGAAAAGGCAAACAGTATCTGCAAATACAACTTCCAAGATCTCATGACAAAGGAGGTTTTTACTCCTCTGGCTGTTTAGCTTATCATTTCAGATGAAGACAAAAATAAAGGTTGTAATATTACAAGCATGTGAAACTACACACACATGTCAGCAAACTGGGATGGAAATTAGAAAAGCTGTGAGGATGGAAGGATGTAGGAGGATTTTTTCCTTTTATTTTCTGCTTTGACAGTATGTCAAAATGTATAACTAGAAAAATATTCCTGAAAAACTAGCCATTATAATTTTTTTAAAGATTTACTTATTTGAAAGGCACAGTTAGAGAGAGGCAGATGCAGAGAAAGAGGGGTCTTCCATCTGCTGATTCACTCCCCAGATGGCCAGAGCTGCGCTGATCCAAAGTCAGGAGCTTCTCCCGGGTCTCCCATGTGGGTGCAGAGGCCCGAGGACTTGGGCCATCTTCTACTGCTTTCCCAGGCCACAGCAGAGAGCTGTATCTGGAGAGAAGCAGCTGGGGCCGGTGCCGCGGCTTACTAGGCTAATCCTCCACCTGTGGCCCCGGCACCCCGGGTTCTGGTCCCGGTTGGGGCACCGGATTCTGTCCTGGTTGCTCCTCTTCCAGTCCAGCTCTCTGCTGTGGCCCAGGAGTGCAGTGGAGGATGGCCCAAGTACTTGGGCCCTGCACCCGCATGGGAGACCAGGAGGAAGCACCCGACTCCTGGCTTCGGATCAGTGCGGTGCACTGGCCGCAGCGCACCAGCCATGGCGGCCATGCGGGGTGAACCAACGGAAAAAGGAAAACCTTTCTCTCTCTCTCTCTCTCTCTCTCTCTCTCTCTCTCTCTCTCTCTGTCACTGTCTAACTCTGCCTGAAGAAAGAAAGAGAAAGAGAAAAGCAGGTGGGACTGGAACCAGCATCCATATAGAATGCCAGTCTTGCAGGCAGCAGCTTTACCTACTATGCCACAGCACCAGCCCCCAATATAACCCTTATAATTAAATTCAATATTATTGAATTTGGGCTAACAATTAATGCTCAAATAACTAAGTTTCCCAAGCACAAGTACAGTTTAACAAAAAGGCTGAAGCACTCTTACTGTCATGATAAATGGTAAATAGCAAGCCAATCAACCAGCATAAAACCCAGACCTAAATTCAATCAGACACAGAATGCCATGAAAAACTTAGGGATACACTAGAGGTTGCTGGGAAATGTCAGACTTTCCTCAAAAGATGGATAATGCGGTTCCAAACACTAGAATCTACACAGCAAAACTATATACATCACAGTAACATGCTCAGAACCCCCCTCATCTGCGAAGAGTCATTCCCAAGGTTGCTTCCTGCATTTACAGGCTATGGTATGGTAGCAACAATTAGGCCCAAAATTCATTATGTGCCATAATTATATGCTACTACTTACTATATTAATTTCCCCAGAAGTAATAACTGTCCAAAGTACTTGATCTTGTCAAAATTCCCAGAAAGGTAAGTGGTTCTGTTTCAGGTTTTTGGTACAAACTCTACAGACTAACTGAAAAGTCACTGGCTCCAGAAGGTCACTACTCTGTCTCCCATAACAACACCTACACCGACATCAACACCACTTCACGACCAACCAGAAAAGCCCATTTCAATTATGCACAGAAACAATTATGTTAACCACAGAAAGAAGAAATCCTGTGCGTGTCAGGGTGTGTGAGGCCCAGGTGAGGGCCACCAAGAACACGGAGGCGCAATTTACCACAAACGATGTACTTCTACTTACAGAAGAATGAAGTCACACGTGAACACGGATTTTAAGCTGACTTCAACCCAAGCCACGGCTACTATCCACTCCCCAGCTGCAATTATTCTCTGCACACCTCTGAGAGGCTAAGGACTGTTAGCCTCTTATCAGCGGCAACTGACAAGTGCGGTAATTTCCCTCCAAAAATGAAACTGATGGGGAAAACGAGAGGGGAAGGGGAAGGGCTCTAAAGTCTGGGATCCAGCTCTTTGTGTGCTGGTTGGTTAGCGCTGCCTCTTTTTAGCACTGACATTTCCAAGATTTTTTGTGAAAAGAAAATTCTAAGAATGTGCTGAAACTATCCTTTCAGAATCAATTCCCAGATATGTTGTTTGTCATCTGCTGGGGTTTTTTTTTCTTAAACAAATCACTGAGATGGAAGAAATCTGAAGTGAACAAAGATACCTGCTTCGGGTAAAACCTGAAGCTTCCGAAAACTTCCAGGGATCCATTTAAATGACTTCATTTTGTCAAGAGTGTGGAAGCAGTGAGGCAGAAGCCGAAGACTCCAATCTTACCTAGCTGACGACTTAAAGTAATTAAGTACTTAGGAAAAAACTCCCCTGACGGCCTTCAGCAACTGTAGCAAGAACAGGTGGACAAACCTAAGACAGGAGACAGCGCCAAGAAAGAAACCAGCTTCCCCAAGTCAGCCCAGCTACGCATTTGTCAACTTGCACAGCTCAATATACACACACCAGAGCAAAGAAAAGGAAAACCTGTCGCTTCTACATAAAATTAACACTTGATTTTGAACAGAGAAGTTGCAAAACAAAAAGACAGCTTGGAAAATGACTCGGATACCTACAACCGATTCCGATGCACTGCAAAGTCGCCTCCTGGGCCTACACCAGGGATTCCCAATAACACGACCTTGAAGGGAAAGTGCCTTCTAATGCATTATCTCAGAGTAACTCGCCCCGTCCCGCTCTAGCCAAGTATCCAAACCAAGACCCAGCCCACCTCCTCGCCACTCCATTTGACTTAAATGTCCTCCGCTTATCTGCTTTCTCTACCCTCCCTAAAGACTTAAGAGAATGTCTGAGAGATACAATTTCACAAGAATCTTGGCACCTAAACTATTTATTGTTGCGAGATGACGAATACGACTTCAAGCAAAAAAAGTTTCTCAACAGTCCGTGCCAAAAAGGCATCCTTTTACACCTGAGCCTCATCAAAGCGCAGTATTTACTTCCCAACTCTTTAAGACCGTCCAGGTTAAAGCAATACAAAGTGGAAAAAAAGAAGAAAAAACACAAGGCGGAGGAAGATTGCACTCGAGTGCCTCCTCCGGAGCGGTCAGCCCCACTCCCTGCCATTTTCCCTGCGGCGGGACACAGAAGTGCGGGGCCGTGCTTGGGGCGACTCGGGCGGAGATGCGGGGTCCTGGGGCAGGCACGAGAGGGGCCGGGGCCGCGGTGACAGCTGGCGAGGGACCTGGCGAGGGACCAGCCGAGGGAGAGGGGACGGGGAAACCGGGCGGGAGCAGAGTAGAAACGAGGAAGCGCGTCGGGGGCGCCCTCCCGGGAGGGCAGGGAGGCGACGAGGGCTAAAGGGCGCCAGGCGGGGCGGAGCGGGGCGGCCGGCGGAAGGGGCAGCGGGGAGCGTGGCGGCCCAGGAGTGGGGCCCCGCGGTCCCCCGGCCCCCCGGGACCGGCCGGCCGGGGGGCGCAGGCGCGACGCCTCGGGGCGCCCCGCCGCCGACTCCAGGGGCGGGGCCGGACGGACCCCCCACGGCGGCCGAGGGACCAGAGCGCCAGGCACCTGCCACCTCCGCCGCGCGGCCCGGCGGGCTACGCTCTCACCTCGTCGGTTCATGGGCCGGACCCGCACCGCCACTTTCACTTTGGAGTCTCCCATTCTGCTGCCGCCACCGAACCTCTCTGCTCGGCTTCCGTCTGCCGCGGCCACCGGGCAACTCTTCGGGGCTGACCCGGCGGGAGGGGGCCGCGGGCGGAGGGGCGTGGACGGGGGGCGGGGCCTGGGCCCGGGGCGGGGCAGACGCGAGGTTGGGGCGCACCGCGCTGCCTGACGGGATTTGTAGTCGCTGAGGGCCGGCGTGGGCGGAGCGGCGGCCGAGGGGCTCCGGCGGGAAAGCTCCCGGCGTGCGTCGCTCCCTGGAACTTGGAGTCGGCGGTCGGGGCTTTTGAAAATGCCTTTTTTCTACAACTTTCTTACTCTCGCGATTAGTATAGAGACGTAACTGTGGAGGGATCGAACTTGCTTGGGTGGCATTGGGGACCCTGCTACCGCTCATGCTTGTTTCCTGCCAACCGAGCTTAGTGGTTGAGCCCTTGGCTCAAGTGATTTCCTCTGCTGGATTACCCTCCCGGCCTTGTGTCCTGAACTTGTCCTTCAAGACAAGTTAAAAGTCACTTCCGGGGCAGGCATTTGGCGGAGCGGGTCAGACGACCACAGTTCATAATGCAGTCCCTGGGTTCTGGTGTTGCTCGGCTCCCAGTTCCAGCTTCCTGCTAACGTGCACCCCGGAGGCAGCTGCCACAACCAGGGAGACCCAGCTCCTAGTCCTGGCTCCTCCAGGCCTTGGCCCGACCCAACCCGGGGCTGTGACAGGCATTTGAGGAGCGAAGCAGTGCATAAAAGTTAATCTGTGCCGTTGAGTACAATGAAAATAAGTAACTTTTAAATGACAGTGCAGAATGCAGAACTATTTCACGGGTGAATAAACATAGAAAGCTGTCACATCTTGTACTTCTACCAACCATAGTGTTGAAATACTTCTAATGCAAGCGGTGTTGTCCAAAAAGTTTTAAAATGCCTTTGAAAGTAAGGGAGTTCTGGCACTTGCAGCATCATGGATGAAGCATTGAAGACCTTATGTTACGTGAAATAAGCAAGGCACAAAAGAACAAATGTTTTCACTAAGTGAGGGTCCATAGGGTAGTCAGCATCACACAGGTGAGTAGTCTAAGGGGCTGGCGCGAGGGCAGGGGGGATTAGTGTTTAACGGCTACAGTTGTGTGGAGTGGGTATTTTGCCTGGTGGTTGGCACACCCACATCCCCTAAGTTCCAGTCGTGGCCCCGGCTTTTGCTGATGTGCACCCAGTAGGCAGAGCATGCCGACTTAAATGCTTGGGCCCTGCTGCCCATGTGGGAGACCTAGACTGGGTCCCTGGTTCCTGGCACACAGCATTGGCCTTTTCCAGTCCCAGCTGTTGCAGCCATTTGGGGAGTGGGCCAGAGGCTAGCAGATTGGTCTCACTCTCTGCTCTCATGCGAATAATTTTTTTTATTTTAACTATATTGATCTTTAACCCCATAAAATTTGTTTTTAAACTGCATGTCCTGGCTGGCGCCGCGGCTCAATAGGCTAATCCTCTGCCTGCGGCACAGGCACACCGGGTTCTAGTCCCAATCGGGGCGCCGGATTCTGTCCCGGTTGCCCCTCTTCCAGGCCAGCTCTCTGCTATGGCCCGGGAAGGCAGTGGAAGATGGCCCAGGTCCTTGGGCCCTGCACCCCATGGGAGACCAGGAGAAGCACCTGGCTCTTGGCTTTGGATCAGCGCGGTGCGCCGGCTGCAGCGCGCCGGCCACGGCGGCCATTGGAGGGTGAACCAACGGCAAAAAGGAAGACCTTTCTGTCTCTCTCTCTCACTGTCCACTCTGCCTGTCAAAAAAATAAATAAATAAAAATAAACTGCATGTCCTGATGCTAGCTTAAATACAGCTTTTTAAACAGAAGCAAAGCAAGCAAAAACAGGATGATGTTGTGTCTAAGGAAACACTGTACTTAAATTTAACCTAGAACATGAGAGGAAAAAGCCCCTAAGAGGCTGGGGGAAGGGAGGAATTTACTAGGAAAGAGGTGAGGACTTTCTCTAAAGTTCCAAAATCATTCAAATTGTTCTGGAAACATCTGATTGGAAGAAAATTACAGTAGCTGCCCTAGAGACAGCCGGGAAAACCCCTATGGGCTCCTCTCCCTTTGACCTCTGGTCTTTGACTTCTCTCTCTCCCTGGACGTCTGCAGCACAGGGAAAGACAAGATTCCCGGAGAAGGGAGCCCAAGTCTAGACTTTATCTTCTCCTGGGAAACCTTCCTGTGACAGGTGAGAACGAAAGGGCTGAAATGCGAGTTAGAACCTGCAGACCTGGAAGGCTTCCCCACAAGTGAAAAGGGAGAAGTGCCTGCAGTTCACAGGCCGGGGACTGCCCAGGCTGCTACAAGGCTGGAGAGGCCTGCATTGTCTGTTTGCAACTATGAGAGGAAAAGGGGAAAGAACTAGGAAGCAAGCCCTCCCCCGGACCTTTGCAAAACATGCGCTTAATAAATCAAATATGGGGCAGGCGTGTGGCACAGTGAGTTAAGCCAAAGCCTGCAACGCCAATATCTCATATGGGTGCAGGTTCAGGTCCCAGCTGCTCCACTTCCAATCCAGCTCCCTGCTAATGGCCTGGGAAAGCAGCAGAAGATGGCCCAAGTGCTTGGGCCCCTGCACCCACGTGGGAGACCCAGAAGAAGCTCCTGGCTTCGAACCAGCCCCACCTAGCCATTTGGGCCATTTGGGGAGTGACCAGTGGATGGAAGACCTTTCTGTCTGTCTTTCCCTCTCTCTATAAATCTGTCTTTCAAATAAATAAATAAATGTTTAGAAAAAAGAAGCCAATAAACATGTATAGTGTGTAATGTTGAATTTCCGCTGTAGCTATAAGGAATTTCTCATTTCTTCTGCCCAAAATTTTGCAAATGTACTCGTTCCAAAACTAGTTTCTAGTTTACTCTTTGTTGCTTTGCAACCCATTCAACAGTTTCTAGTGGTCCCAGCACAGACTGAGAAAGACATTTTGCCCTGGTTCTAAGTATGTGTGTTTTAAGATAATCTCCTTTTTAAAACAATATTTATTGATTGATTTTTCAGTTATCTGAAGGGCAGAGACAGAGTGAGACCTTCTTCTGGTTCACTCCCCAAATCTGCAACATCGTGGACTGGGATGAATCCATCCAGGTCTCCCATGTGGGTAGCAGGAACCCAACCACTTGAGCCATCACCTGTTGTCTCCCCGGCCGGTGCACGTTGTCAGGAAGCTGGATCAGAAGTGGAGGACCCAGGACTGGATCGCAGGCACTGTGATACGAGATGCAGGCATCCCAGCGTCTTAACCATTGCACCTTAATCCTGTATTTTGGAAATGTGCTCGTGCAGATTGTTCAGTCCACAGGCGTTCAAAAGACCTACTTTTCACCATTAGTTTTTCCAAAATAGTTTCCAGAACCCCACTGCTAAAAATGGAAACTTGTACTAAGTTCTTTCAAAAGGAAGGCAAGGCATTGAGCAAATCACTCCCTCAAGGCAAACTGCATCTCTCAGCCTAAAGCAGGATTGGCCTTCCTCACTCTGTCACACTGCTTAGTTTTCCCAGTTACAGTTGTCTCTTCATCTGTCCCCCAGCTACACTCGGAGTTCTTGAGCACAGAGAGGAAGAGTCTAGAAGAGTCTAAGTCTCTCTATCTCCAGCCTAGTACAGTGCCTGGTACTCAGCAGACAATAGATTTTGGGGAGTGAGACTATTACAACAGAGCATTGTCATTGATCTCAGCCTCATTAAATGATTTCTTCAACTCATTTAGTAAATGGCAGGGTTCAAACGCAAAACAAAAATTTGTTTGAGTCCAAAAATCTACCTCTTTCCACAAAGGAAGCTGTCCCTGGGTGTCTTCTTACCTAGTTTTCAACTTTGCGCTCTTTCCTGTATTGTGAATTCCTAGTGGAAGCCTAGATCTCAATAACAGTGTCAGACAGAGAATTAGACTAGAGGGACTGGGGAGTGGCCACAAGACCTCCCTCCAAGGTGAAACCAAGGTCCCTGCTCTCCACCAGGGGCCACCCAAGACCTCCCACTTTGCAGTTTAACTGGTGGTTAAAGTATCCTGATAAAATGGGAACTCAGCCAAACCGGAGATGTCTAGCTTATGGCCACATGAGCAGAGTCCAAAGGTATGCAATCTCAGGCATCAATCACAAATGCCAATCATGAGTGTCACAGCCACTTCACCAGTCTACACCCTGAAGCTTAAGGATGAAAGCCCCAAACCAGGAAGAAAGGGTGCCACGTTTCCTCTCAGTCGGCCTATTTCTCCCTTGGAACATGCTTGAATCAACTTTGCTTAGCTGTCCCTTCTCTCATCTCTCTGGGCTGCAGTTCTTCACACTGCCAGTCACTGATGACACCAGAAATCGTCGCTTTCTAGCTGTTCCCTCTCAGGCCTGATGAGGAGGCAAGCATCGTGCTCAGCACTTCACAAACCTCATCCAACCCACAGGTTAGTACTATCACTGCAGCCTTTGGCAAGTAGGAAATTGATGTAATGCACACAGACCCAAGTTAGAGGGACCTGAATGCAACCCCTGGGTCCCCATGTGCCTTTTTTGCAAGCTGTCGGACCATCCCCACTGTTCCACCCTGCCTCTCCTTGCAGTATCGGGTGCCCTGCTGGGTCCTGCAGCCTTTGCTGATACTCTCACCAACCACCCACTGGCAGGGCCACACCTGCATCTGGCCAGAAGTAAGACTGCTCCACCTAGGAAATGAAACACAGTAACCCTCATCCTCCTCCACCCAGCTCACTCTCCCACTTCCAAGGCGCTCTTCCTAAGGCTCTAGTTTCTCAAGTGACCCCTGTACTCATTCTCTTACATCTGCAGCCTCAATCTCCCTCTTGACTGTGTTGTCAATACCACATTGTGAACCCCTAAAACTAGGTTATCATTCATTCACCCAGGTTCCACGACTGGGCCAGGAGCCCAGCTGGAGGAAGTCACATTATTCATGCAGGTTGATGCCCTTACATACCTGATCTTCAAACCCAGCATGGCCCTCGGTCACGCTCAAAACCCATTTACCTTCTCAGTTCCTGTATTCCTCCAGAACCTTCTCCATCTCCCCCTCTGTCTTCAAGCTCTAACCTAACAAGGCCATCCTCTCTGCTAGATCACTTGCTCCCA